TTTCAAGCGCATTTGGCCTGCATTTAACGAGTATACACTTCATTATTTGATTTTATCGCGCGCACAATGAGATTTTTCAAACTAACTTCCACAGTAAACTGGTTAAGTGAAATTTACACGCAGCGCATATATCAAGTCCCGTGGAATTGAAACATAACCAAGATCCCGGCAAAATCATAGAGTCCCGGGTCTCGGATAAAAATCCCATTCGCCTGTCCCCCTTCCTCGACCGCGGCGAATCTGAATTACTATGTTCCGCATCTTTATTCGCGGCACTTTCTCGACAAGGACACCCGTCTATTTATCCAGCCATCTAGTCCTGGCAAAACGTGTTCCAGCCGCGAAGGCCTATGGGCTGGTTAAAGTGATTTATCGTGGTCGTAAAATATTCTTCGTGTCCGCGGCGCGCGAGCCGAGACAGGCAGCGGCCAATTTCGATTCAATTCGACGTGTCCCTATCGTCGGATTCCGTGGAATGATTTTTGCGAGTCCGGTCGCTCCGCTGATCGGAATCGATTCACTCGATTCCCGAGCTATCCGGCTAGTTAATTACGAGTCGCAGTTATTACCATTGTTGTTACAAGTTCGGATTAGGTTGTAGCGTAGCGAGGAAGTTCGAGAACTGGATCTTGTTTGACACGGCCACTAGAGAAAGCAAGTTAACCCGTCAATTCGTACTGTGCCACGTTGGCGACTGTATTTTCCTGGAATTGTTTGCTGCCCCCGTTGTTCGAACGGACTTGTAACTAGTCGTGTAATAAACGTGCATCAGCATGACGGAAGAACGACGGTTTTACAACGGTCGGTTCGCGAGGATCGTTTATTAGGAAGAAGTTTCGTTTTTACACACGCGATTTCCTCGAGTCATCTGAACCGGCCGAGGTGATCAGGGAATATAATTTGTTCGTTATTTATCGAGGGATTAAATTTGTAATATTAGAAATTGATCTTGTTAGGGATAATATGTGGAATACTGTTACACATTCTTAGCCTCCCGTACGCTATTCGGATTAATTTAATTAGGCCTCTATAGCGACGCTAAGATTTTATATACGATATAATTAGATTGCGGATATTTATGCGGTTATAGCTGGGACGCTTGTTTAAATTCAGTATATTAGAGGCTTTAATAAAGTTTAAGGATGCCTCTCTCTCTCTTTTTATTTGGAACGTCGTAGAACTTTTAATAGGGTAGACCGCGTTCTGTTTCATTACGGTTTCCGCGAGTTAATCCACGAGGATCTGCATTTACATAAAGATCGATAGTTCTGGTTATTATAATCGGGTTACAGATCAATTTCCTGTTCGAATTTGTCGTGGCCGCCGTTCGAATTTAATTCACATCGTGTAACGGCTACCTGAACGGTGTACCAGACTAAAAGTCTCTATTTCATCGTGTCTTACGGCGTCGTAAACCCCGCGGGAGCATAAAATCCGCAGTCTAGTCGTAAAGGCATCCGGCTGCAGAATTCCGCCGATCGAACGTTAAAATTAGACCGCGTGGATCAATCTACCGAAAAAAGAACGTCCTTCCATCTGTCCCGGCGGAACGGGAAAAGGACGAATCGTCGTGACGGCGGCGGCCCCCGTCGCGTTCCGATGTCCAGCGATTTATTGTCATTTTCATCTTCCGGATACTCGTGCGATCGATAGAACATCGCGAAAATTTCACGTAGAATCAAATATCCACCAACGTTCTCCTTTTCACAAACAGAAACACAATGCATACGCTACTTCAAAATCATTACCTTCGATACACATGCATCATTCTTCCCAATAATCTATCAACTTCCATTACCTGGATTAACCCTTTGCTTTGGTGACTCTCAGTCACCACTTGATTTCCTACAGTGAAGCTATGAAGTTTGATATTTAATATTGTACTTCATATAACGCATCAATCTGAGAAATATTGACGTATAATATCTTTGTCCATCAATTCACGTGAATTGCTCGTCGAGTAGGTTTCACAAAATACTCCATCTCATCAGAAAATGTTGAAATATTTCTAGTAAAACTTTGGAGTGCAAGGGTTAATATTCCCCAAAACTCACTCGATCAAAGATCCCCAGAAGACTCCGATACATCGTTGAAACGGAAACCCGAAGATCAGTCTCGGAAAAAGACGCATCTCGCCCCGACGCGGCGATAAAAGCGCAAACCGTCGACGGAGGGGATAGGGGAGCATCGTCGTATCCGGTGGGTCCGGCAATTTCGCGTGGTAATTATATTTACAGGGAGTGGCACTCTCGACCTACTCGAGGGAAAGGACTTGTCCCTTTCAGGCAGCGCCGCGTGTGCCGGCGCGCACGGCAGACTCCGCCGCGGCGGTCCTGCCGAGTACGCGGCGCAGGAGCAGCGAACCTACGTGCAACGCTCGGAGAACGCTGCTCGCGGCGTCGCCATGGCTACGTGTCGGCGGCGTGCACCTCCCCCGACTCACCCCCGCAGCCCCGGACGCGTCGAGATGCAGGGTTTCATCCCTCTATCCGGCCGCAGCGCCGGGGCGGCTCCCGTGCGGCGCAGACGTTCGTGCCGGTTGACCCAGGTCGCGTGATCCTCGCCTCGTCTCGATCGTTTCGCACTTTTCTCACTGGCCACGGGGCTGTCGCGTCTTCCCGCAAACCTCAGAGGACTCGGAACTACCCAGGGAACCGCCTGCGACCGATTCCTGGCCGATCCTCCAACGCCTACCAGTGAAACGAGGAACGTGTCCACCTGAGGGTGGATACCCACTGTGACCTTGAGCTGCTGATCCAGACAGGTGGAGTTCGGAGAGGTTCTGTGGGGATTCGTGGTAGCACGATGGACCGTGGAAGGCTTCTGGGATGGAGCTGGAGAATTTTGTGACGGTTCGAGCGAAGAAAGCCTTGTTCGAAGTTCACTGGTTCGAGAGGTTCTCGGGGATTCTTTTGGAACCACGGCGAGGGATGTGTCTCCGTGAGCGTTGACAGGGTTGACAGGGTTGACAGGCTATTGGGGAGCGAGGATTTAGTTGAATTTGAGAGCGGGTTGCCACTGTGATCTTGATTTGTTAGATTACGATGATACCGGAGTTGAGAGGTTTATCTGGTCCTGATGGTTAACGAAGAGGCTGTTTAATGGTAGTTTGAAGAGAAGCTTCTTTTTCGATGGAGAGAGAGGAGTAGTTCGTTGAGGATCGTTTAATTAGCACGAAGAAGTTCCTAAGAGAGTACAAGTTGAAGAAATAATCTGTCCAGCGGATATTAAGGCGAGTCGCGATGGCACCACGGGGGCAAAGACATTCGACAGGCGCCAGGGGATTAGCATCGGAGAGGGATTTTCGTCGCTGAATCATCCCGACTGCAGTTGGCAAACGTCGCTGGCTGTTTCTTCGGCGGGGAAGATAGAAGAAGAGGAAGAGAAGGCGGTGCCCGATGTTGCGGAACAATTCGTAATGAGCTCGGGGCCCACGGCGCCGACGTGGAACGAACACGTGCTGTCTCGGGCTGTGAACTTCAAATTTTGGAACACGGTCCGACCCCTGGACACTTCCGCGGAGTGTAAAGTATACGGAACGAAATTGAATTTCTGATCGCGAGAGTCCCATTAAAGGAGCCTATTTTATCCCGGAATATAATTACCGCTACGAATGCTCAATATTAACGTAAGAGAGTCCACGATCGAATGGTGCTATTTAGTATAGGAGTCGACTTAAAGTTACCCGGAACGACGAACAGGAAATTATTCGACAGCCAAGCCTGCGCCGAAGGTGTCGATCAGAGTATTTATTTACGTAGAAGTCGATCGGAGCTTAGCTTCGCCGATAAACTTAACGAGATCGTTGAAACATTAACTGGGTTAAGTACTGAACGTGTGCTCAAAGTCTGCCAACAAGCCTGCCATCGAAGGGTTCAATTTATTCAACCTGTCTCCGAAGACCGGTGTTCACGTAACATCGAGCGAGTCGATAATTTCCAAGTTAAATACCGAATGCGTGCTCAAACCCCGATAAACAGAGTCGAACGCAAACATCGAAATCATTCCAAGGCTTTGATAACGACGCTGTTATTGAAGAGAACTTAATTGACTCACACAATCAGCGAAGACACTTCAGAAACCATCAATCCGCGCGAGCAAACACCCGACACTTGAAACGATTGAACCACCCTCGAGGCTGTAATTAAAAATCACAAGAAAAGACAGACGTCCTCCGAAAAGCCATGAATAATTACACATTAAAATCAAGGAATATTCTCTGCCATCAATTCCCACGATGAAAAGTTCCCCAAGAATCTCTTGAGGATCGAGTTTAAAATTATCGACGATTCCTTCGAAAGATGACAAACTCGAACAGCAGCTCGCTGTCGCGAGCCTGGCTGCGCGCTAATTGCTGCCGCTGCGGCGATCCCCGCCAGGACAACGTGAACAACAACATGAAAGAGGAGACGCCGCTGCGGGAGGAGACGGAGACGCTTCTGCACCGCATCGCGTTCACGGTTTGGCACACTGCCCTCCGTATCGAGAGCGAGGTGCGTTCGCCCCCGTCGCGTGGGTGTTGTTCGCGCGATCGTTCCCGGCCGGCCCCCGGAACACGACAGATCGCGCCGCGTCGCGTCCCCTTCCTCCCCGGCGGACTCGCGGCGTTCCGTTCCTGCCGAGATTTAAACAACATTGATCGATCGTCGGCCGCCATTAAACGGGCCGCGCTCCGAAGTCGCGCCGTCGATCAAGCGTGATCGATCGCGCCACCGGGACAGAAATTTCTTGTCGCTCGTCGGAAGGCGGCGGGCGGATTAGCTTGCAAATTCACTCGCGAGCGATACATATTCATCCGAATAAATTGTTAACAGCGATAATCGAGGCTTCGCGTTTCTCGCGGCAGTTCCTCGGGGAATAATGAGAGCAACACGCGATTCGCGTGCTGCTCCTTTTCCACGAGCAACCTGTTTACGAGGAGCTCATACATATTCAGCAACATATAACTCGTATTTTTCAGAACGCGGAATATAATTTCGTGTATCCCTTTCTTGTTGCAGCACAATGGAGGCTACGAGGCGCAGCCCAAGAGCGTCAACACCATCTCCAGGAACAAGCAACAACAGCAGGTACAGATTCTTGCCTGTTCCTCGTCGATCCCAGCGACGACGTAATGAGCACCGCCCTTAACCCTTCGCACTCGACAATATTCTTCATGAAAAATATTCATTGCTTTCCGACTGAATATTAACGATATTTCTCGCGACTAACACGATTGATTATCTGATATAGATTAACACTAGGTTTACGGGCATTTATTGTAGTTTATTCTATTGTTCCTGGGGAAGTGGATATTCGTTCATTTAGATTTTGGAAATTGTAGAAATAGACAATCAGGATTCATATTCGTGTAATTGGATCAACGAAAACCGATTGAAACATTTACCAAATGTTTATAAAATTCAATCTGCGTCATATTGTCGCGTTCCGTAAACCTAGTGTTAAGAGAACTATTTTACTTCGATGTTCTATGTGTTGACATATTACACAAGGTAATATTGAATTGAAAATTTGAAAGTTCGCTGCGTCGAATCAGGCGGCGACGGCTTTGCGCCTCTCGAGTGCAAAGGGTTAAAATAATTCGCCGATCCCCGCTGAATATTCAGCCGTATTCAGTTCTCGTAAAAACCATTCAATTACGGAACGCGCTGCCGCGTCTCCGTTCTTTACGGCGCGTAACGCGCAGAAGCGTTTTCGGGAAAAGGCCAGAAAAAAAGAGGCGAGCGGGAAGAAAGGAATCGAGGTCAGGAGCGCCGTGGAAGCGGGCCGAGCGTGTTTCTCGTTCCAAAAATCTCGCTGGGAGAGGTTACGCACGTGGCGGGATGCAAATGTCGGCCGCGGATGGCAATTTCGAACCGGGGACGAAGCGATTTTGCATACGGGACCGCTTTTGCAAAACGCCGGATCGCTCGCGCGCGCGCGCGCGCGCGCGTTTGAGGCCGTTCGTTCCCCGGCAACGACGCCCGTTTCGAATGTAAATAGGACTCGGCCGTGTTTTCCCGCGGAATAAATGAAGACACGCCTGATGCAATCGCGGCCGGAGCCGAGCCGGCCAATGCCAGCCGTCCTCGCACTTGCTCTCCGGCGCGCCGGTTGTTTTAATATTAAATATTTAGAGGGAGCTGGCTCGTAAATGGTACAAATCGCGACTCCTTATCGGTTACGATAAACCTTCGAGCCGTGCTGGGCTGGCTTTTGCATAACGATCGTCGTCCGCGTATTTCCGATGTTCACCTCGCGCAACGCTACTACCTGCGGTCACGACGAATAATTTTGCAGTTTACAATGCTTACCGGGCCGATTCCGCTTTCGTACGCGTCCCCGCGGATCGGTTTCCGCCACTTTTAGCTTACACGACGTCGGAACGAGGCTTGAGAGAAATAGGGGATTCCGGAGATCTCGACGGTGAATGGTACATATGTTTAGCAGATAAAGCGATCGAAGCGTCGTTCGCTATCTAATCAAATGCGGGAACTCGTGGAACTGGACTCTTAATGTTCGATTCGTGTGCCAGTGCATTAAAATGGACGCGAAATCGGTTCGGGATGTGGAAATCCGATAAATAGATCGGTATCGAAAGTTTCCGGTCAATTGATTGAGATTTTCATATTGAGTTCAGTATGATCGTTAGCGATTTTCGAATGTTTTAAGATCGTAGAGGTAAGGCGTTCGAGTTTTGCGAAGGGGAACGATGATCTGATTACGATAATTAAGTGCACCGGTTAGCGGAAAATGACCCCAATCCAGTGGAATCCCATTAATTAGCATGTACTCGCTGGTCCTGCGCCGCGTGCAGCTATACTTCTGCCCCAGATAATAAATAGCCATTACTGTTACTATTATTAAGTACTATTATTCGAGATAACGATCCGAAGACGCAACACGTGGGAGGATTAAGACTAACACTGCCGGAGAATTAAAGCGGACGTTGGATAGCTTTCAAGGGAGCGGTACGTGCTTTATTACCGGCGGTCCTTTTTCAAACTGCAACCCGGTGTGGTGCAGGCAACGCCGGCCGGGCGTTCTACCCCGCGCATTAACGCCACGGAACGGTGAGAATTATTCGCTAAAATGGCAGTAAGCTGGCGCATCGTATGAGCGGCGCTAGCATCGACTGATGCTCACCGGAGATAATCCAAATATATTGACGCTGACCGTGTAATGTATTCACGAAACCCTTATCCGTGTTTAGTCCGCGGCCGTTCCAGCGGGAACGTGTGTGCGGGAATGAACCTCGACTGCGGAACTTGTCACGCGAGAAAATACCGTCAATTGTTGCCGCGAGGCCGTCGAAAGGAATCTTTGTTCGACGAGGATCGAGAGTCATTTGAGGAACGGCTCGAAAAATTTGTTCAACTGCGTTAAGAACATTTTTGCGTCTTGCAGGAATTTATGCTTTATTATTTTCGAATTTATCGGTTGGAAATATAAAATGGTAACTAGAAATATCGCCAGTGTTAGATCTTTAATCATTTTCTCGATTATGCTGAAGGAAATTATTGAAGATCTGGTGTTGGTAATATTTCGGAGAACCCGAAAGTTACCATTTTATATTTTCAGGTAGAAAGAGTAATAAAATATAATTAAAGGGTAATGAGATGTTAATGATTTTAATGGTAATGGGATATTTTAGGATATGGAGAGGAGCTTTTTAGGTGTTTTAGTAGAAATTATACAGTTAGCTGATTGATAATGGTGTCATTCGATAAAATGAGTCCAGAAGTCCGCCAGATTGAATATTATCATTTATTGAGTCCCTCTATTAAGGACTTTCAGGAATAGCAACGCTCAACTATCAATCGGATCGCACGTCGGCTGAAAAAGTCGATAACGATAAAGTCCACTCTCGCCCGGCACTATACTTCCAATTAGAAATTAGCTGCCGGCAATTACGCGTATTAACGATAATTGACATTGCTGCCCCACGTTCTGCGCGCCTTGTTAATGGCGTGGCCAATAATTATCGTCTTTACATTACGTTCTTACGTAAACCAAATGTAATAAGAAACCACGACGTATTTCATTTACTAAGTGTACTCAAGCATTTCACGACTGTAAAGCCGCGCCTCCGGAAAATTACATATTACCCACAATCTCAATTAATCTCACAGAATCGGCTTTTTCAAACGCATTCCCAAATGCCTTTCACACTCTACAGTAAAACAATTCACTTTCCAAGGCCTATCGCCCAGAAAAACGCGCATTCCAGTACGCATCTCAATGCTCAGAAATTCTCACGCCCTTAAACCACAGTCAAGCTATCCATTACAATTCAATAAAAATCAACCACACTTCCAACGTTTCTCAGTCCACCCTAATTCTACGCTTTCCTTAAAAAACCAGCAGCCCAGAAGTCGCTCAAAAATTCAATTTCGGTTCAAATCCGGCACCCCCAGCCCGGTTCCCGCGCACTCCAGATAAATCGCGAAAGTGCGGCCGCCCACGCGTGTCGCCGGTGCAAATTGAAAATTTAACGATTCCGCGGTGGCCGGGTATAAAAAAGGGGGGCCCGAGCGGGCAGGGCACGTCGGCGAGCGTTCCGAACGTGGCCGGGGCGAGAGCTGGACGCCTCTAAAAATACGTTTATAGGATCGTAACGCGGCGCGGGCTGGTCCTCTCTCTCTCTCCGGCGGGTGCAGCCGTGCTCCGCTCGTACGTCGCGGTCTGCTACGGCCGTAAATCCCTCCCGGCGTCGGGCTCACGTGTGAAATTGCTATTACGCTGGCCCACGGTCCTACCGCAGCTGTCGTTCCTTGGAAGCCCGGGCTGCCCGCCACCGGCCCCCGTTGTCCTTCGCATTTCTCACGGTTGCTTAGAATCCGGAGGGGGTCCGGCTCCTAGCCCCCGTCGTCCGACTTCCTCCGTCGCTCTCGGGGGTGGAGGGCGGAGGGAAGCGGTGGTGCTCGCCGAGCGGCATTTGTCAAGACGTCACGCGCGAATAAGTCGTAATATCGTCTGACGAGGCGCATTTTTCCACGGAGGATCGGCATCACCCGCGGTGTGCAGCTGGATCCGTCCGATGGCGTTACGGGACCTCCGCGCGATCGCCGATATCCTCTCTGCCTACTTTCGCGCCGGCTCCGCGCCGGGAGGGTACAGTTAAATTATTACGAAGGAAATCGACGTGGAAATGGGAATGTCGATGGACGAACGGTTGATTCTTTATTGGACTACGGACCAATACCTCGCGTCGGGGATTTCTGTCCGAGGGTCTGCGAGGTTAGGATCGTGGGAGGTTTAGCTGGGGATCGAACAGATTTCGAATGTAGGTTTATCCGTGCGTCGTGATTAATGGGATACCGGAATTGTTCGTTGCGAGGAACGGTTGGAGTTGTTAACCCTTAGCAGTCCTGTGTCGAGTCAGACTCGACGTTTTATTGCAACCTCTACTCGTTTTAACAATTTTTTCCGTATTTGTAGTATCACGATTGTACCATTTAAAGGTAACATTTCAATGACTAAAATATTCTTGAATAAATAAATAGAGCGTCATATTAACCCTTTGCACTCTAAACATCTGTCACTAGAAATATTCAATTTATTTTTATGAGATACAAATGACATTTTTCCCAACTAACTTAACGAGGAATCTATTCAAAAAGTAAGGGGAACAATGGTATTTCATTTCCCCATTTCACGTATCGACAGATTATCGAAGACTTAATGTTGAAAGCCAAGGGTTAACGCAGGACCTCGAAGCGACGCGTGATTCCGTTTCCAGTCATTCCTAGACGCGAGACATAACTCCCACAATTCCATCGGACTGACGCACACTTCCAATTTCCAAATAGGAAGCACTAAAACCTAGCTTACCTCGTATCGTAAACCTCGAACTCCGAACCAATACCGGAGCAGTTCCTCTGTCTCGTTGCTCATAACTAAAAGCATCGGTTGTCATGTATACATGCGTCGCCCCCCACTTCCCGGAGATAATACGCATCATCCAACGCAAATAGCGTCGCACGGTAGCCGACGTCTCGCGGAAGAAGCGACGCAGTTCGCCGACAAGCTTCTTATTCAGATTCCTCCGTCGCCCTTGAAGCCGAGCGGCTCACGCACCGGCGTTATCGCGTTCTCCATAGCGAACCGATCCGCTCGCGCCGTAATGCGGCTCGCGTCTAACGGCGGAGCGTGACTCGCGGTCCGAGAGTCACGCCGCGTGCACGAATTCGTTGCATCGCGCACGCAGAAATCGGCCGGAGGCCGGCGGAGTAGGGGAATCCTGGCTGCACTTGTCAGGTGGACGAAGAAGAAGCGCAGTACAAGCGTCGGGACAAGACCGGCGGCCACCGGATATATCCTCGAAACCCGCGGCAACGTTACCGCCGAGCGAAACACAATACCCGGCAGTCTGTTATCCCGTCGTGGCCGCGTCTCTCCTCGCCGACCGCAGGATAAACGCGGCGGTCCTCGTCCGACCGCCAGGATTTCATGTCGATTCGCTTTGATAAGGACCCTACCCAGCGCGCGCCGGCATGCCGGAGAAGATCGTCGTCAGGATCCTCTACGCGCCGAAGTACTCCAAGGTTCACTCGTCCGCGAGACGTTCCGTTTGTTCTTTCCTACTTCGTGGCTCTGGCAACGCTATAGGTGTATCGATGAATAATTTATTGTTCCTTTCGTCTCGGCCCGGTGAAAGTGAGGGTTGAACCGCCGGGGAGATTCAGGATTGGTTCGTAAATAGTGAAGGTTTCGGGAGAAGCGGATCGAAGAGACGTGATTGTGAAAGAATCTTGCAGATTGAATGTCGAAGGGTAGCATTTGTGGAGTTTACAGTGGAGTATAATAATAGGTCTTCGGTGTTGATCATTTGGAAGTTGTATATATTCGTCGTGAGATCACTGTAATAATATTGAAATTGAGAGATTGTTGAACCAGTTTCGAAAAAATACGATTGCATCGCGCGTGACCTTTCCGCGTTTCATCCCAGGCCGGAGCGATTGAAATTGAATATTCAAGCGTTGCGCAAAGATGGCTGAGCGTCAATCAAACCGTGGCATCGCGGTCTAATTGCACCGCTAATTTGATTTCGCAGATACAGACGTCCTCGTCGGCGACGGCACCCGCGAGGACGCCGGGCGTCGGTGCGGACGCGACGACGGCTGGATCCGGAAAGGTCGGGGGTCGCGTGGCGGAGATGATGGAGCTCCGTTACGTCACGGAGAGGATCATCGCTCTCTGGTACAGGGAGGACGTCCAGGGAGTGCTCGAGCACGCCACCACGCTGCTGCGAGGGAAACACGCTGATAATTATATGGTGAGCAGCCGATGCCGGGTAAATTAATAGCCGCTTAACCGCGCGCGGCTTTTTCTCGGCGAACGATCGGCGTTAAATTGAACGACGCTGAGGTAATCGGCGCGAGGTAACCTTTATTTAACTCGATTAGCGTAAGATTGTTGCAACCGCGGCTCGCGATCGCTCGTCGAACCGGTGATCCGTCCTCTATCGAACTCTGATTTCTCGAGCACACGGACGACGAGCGTAGTTTTCGGTAACTGGAGTTCAAGGGAACTTTTAACCTCCGAACCTGTACCATCGAACTACCCCAGCGGAGCAGAGATTCTTTATCCTTTATTGCTTCCGGCGTATACTTCGAGATTCAATATTAATCTACCGTTTTCATTCTAAACGATACTCTTATAATCATTAGAATTAATAGAATCATTGAAATATTCAAACATTCGTTCGTAGTATAAAGCACTTTCAATGTCGAATGAAAATTTCAGAACTTCCTGTATTAATCTTCGATGAACTCGAATACTCTCATTAACCCTTAGCACTCCAGAAGATTTTGTAATTTATCAGCAACTGCAACTAATTTTTATAGTATTCTTCGATCTTTTACTTTCTTTCTTAGTGGAAAATTTGGATGCGTGAAATAATAATTGTGGGGTAGTTTCTTTAGGATTCATTGAAATATCTAATATTATTCCCGCAATATTGGAGCCTACAGAGTTCAAAGGGTTAAACCCGAAGACTCATCCGAAGCGACGTTATATGAGACAATGCAGAAATTGTTTATCATTCAGATATTCAACCTCTCGTCGCCCGGTCGGCCAGGCGAGCCGAACACCAGAGAAGCGGGCTGGCCGCAGGGGTTGGCGCCCAGTTTGGAACGACTATGCGCCCTGTGCAAGGAGCTGGACTCCTGGTTGAACGGTGCGCCGAATCGCGTGGTCGTTCTGCACGCCAGGTAAGTGTTGCTCGATCGAGAAACTACGGATCGTCTAAACGGGAGCGTGCTCGGATCCACGGAGCGTCGAATAAACGCGAAACACGAACGTTCTCTGACGCAGGGGGAGCAAAGAGCGATTGGGTGTGGCAGTGTCCGCGTACATGAACTACAGCAGCATCTGCGGCGGACGTGACCAGGCACTGGACAGGTTCGCCATGAGGAGATTCCTCGACGACAAGATCGGTTCCCTGCAGGTTCCGTCGCATCGAAGGTAATGACTCGAGAAAGCATGACGTTACCGAGCTGTCGACGTTTACCGAGATAAAATTCACTTTATCGCCTATTAGTCGCGAGCCGGCCAGATACTGGCAGCGGAAAGTATCCACGGGCGTGGCTCTATCGTGACGAGTATCGCCGGATGGTTATTAACACGATATGCCCGAGTCCCTATTTTAAAGGCAACGAGCCCGTCGCCGATCGTTTGACCGTAAACCTGACCGCTCGGATGGTCTTACTGTTCCCCCGCGTTACGTAAACTGTTATGTCATAATTAGCGAGCGTGACACAGTTCGGGCAGCCGCTGGCCCGGATATTTATGGTTTCGTACCTGTATTTGGTGGCTGTAATTCATGGGTTCGTTGGTTTGTCGTTCGATTCGGGACTTTAAGCGATTCCGCTGAGTTGTTTGGAGAGAATAAGAAAAGAAAGTTGGAATGAAATGTTTTATTCAATTATGTACTGCATCGAGGATGTTTTCCATATTAAGAGGACGTTTGATAATTATGTTTAAAGATTGGAGGCATTTGATTTGTTCGGAGCTATCGACTTGCTTTTTCTTCGATGATTTTTGAATCTATTTGATATAATTGCATGGTACGGAACGAACGTCTAATCAGAGAAAGATTGGTTTAAATGAACAGGATCGCGGCTCGCAGTATGCGCTACCGTATTCGCTGAATTCATTAGTTGGAGCTCTCGAAACGAGGAACTTCAGTTGCGGAAATAGCGTACGCTATCATTACCTCTATCGCGAGATTGTGTAACGATTCTCACGGACAGAATGGATCGTATGAACGAGGCCCGTGCAATTCTAGCCTTGGCTGTCCATTCAGTCAACCGTCAAGTTTAGTGTCACGTGTCATCGTTGCATCGATTATTTTGTCTACGCCGAGCGACATCGCCTTAACTTGTATTCGATTATTCAGCCAACGGGACACCGATCCTAATACTGTCTAGACGACTGTAATTGACAGTTCAAGGCCACCTTTCCTTCCGCCGCGATCATCGCATGGCAATCAGGATATTGAAAGCCAGCTCGTAACCTTGGCCTTATATAAACTCCGAAAAAGGTTCCGTAATTAATTAATCGCTTCGCTCCTTCGTTCCTCCAATATCATTACCTCTCATCGACGAATCAACCAAAACAAGAACTCTATATTCCTAATAACTCAACAAAACAAAACCAAAAAAATACCCAAAACATCGCAAATCCCATTCCACAAAAATGTTCAAATCTCAAAATCCCCAGAAATTCAAAATAATCCCCGATCTACCGAGTCGCATGAAACCCTGGCTCGAGCAGCCATCGCCGAGACCACTCTCGGAGCCAAAAAAGCCAAAGAAATCGCGCATTTCCCCATGCACTTACTCCATCCACTTAACCGTGCATCCTGTCAACCAACAAGCACCAGGACTCCCCCATCCCATTCCCGCCGTTAAACCCGATAGTTATCTAGACTGATGATCCCCGACTAGTTCCTCACCGCCAAAAAATCCCGGCGAAATAACCCCATAAACACAAGTCCCGTAGGTAGAGAGAGCCTGTCCACCGCGGCGATCCATTCCCGTCGAACGATCGCCGCGGTATGTATTACACGGTGTCGAGGGCCTAACCCAGCGCGCCCTTCATGCTCGGTTTTCGTCGTTTGACGCCGCGGATCGTGGATCGTAATGATCCCCCATCGAGCGCTGTCCTTATACGCGGAAGACTCTCCCTCGGGCGTCCTCTTCGACGTCGTCTTTACGCCGATCCTCTTCCTCGTTGCGTCCCGGTTGATCCAGGAGAGAAAGAGAGAGAGAGAGATGGAGTTCCCCATTAATTCCACGAGCGGCGAGCATTAGCATGTCGTTAGCGTTGCCCGCTCGCGAGCGTATGAATCCATTATCGGAACCCCGGACGAAGGGATCCCGGTTGAAAGTTACTCGGCCGCGAGCGGACGCGTAGAATAACCTGCCGCGCACACCTTAGGTGCCACCGGGAACTGGTTTTTTTCCTCCTTTTCCCGCCGTACCCTCTTTTATTCCTAGTTCCTTTTTTATTTGCGCCGGCGGATCGGTCACCGAGCGGCAGGACGATCCTATCTGCCTTCGTTACGGGGGACACGCGAGGATTCGTGAGCCGAGCCCGCGAAATTACGGCCGCGGACGATCACGATGCCGCATAATCGGCGGGTTCCTTTCTTCGTCGCGACCGCTGTCTCCGTCGGGCTCCCTCGGACCACTCTTCCGTGTTCGTCGTATGTATTACAAGACGTGGAATTAATCGGGAACGCCGGAGACACGCTTGTCTGATCGTGGACGGGAGATTCTTCTTTCGAGGGCTTCATTGCCGGCGATGCCGGTAATTGGGATTTGGGAGCGCAGCGTCTTGCCGGGGAACGGACAGCGAGGGAAATTGAACTTTTCGGGTTGGGCGTTTCTGGGAAATAGGTGACAGATGAATGGAGGTGAACTTTGAATTGATATTCCTCGAGATTCGTAATTTAAGGGTAACTGGTTTCGACCTCAAAGGACTGGGATTCGTGATGCACGGTTGTCGACGAGTGTGTGTAAAATAATTGTGGCCTTGCTAATACATCTCGCGGTACATGGGTTCTCGTGTTCTATTAGGATCGAAGTAAACGCTTCCAATCATGGCCAGACATTCGTGAAATTCCATCCGAGGTTATCATAATGAAAACTCTCACAGCGTTTCAACAGCACGCTCGCAGCACGGGTTACGCCTACCGAATACGGTTCGCCTCGAAGTAGAAAATTCTGGCCATGGTCAGACACGCGTTGACCTATTCGTTGAACCTCTCCCGTCGGTTTTCTAATATTTTCACACGGTGCAACGGGGCCCCGAATAAGGCCGCACGCGTGAGAAGTAGAAAAAGACGGTTCGCGGTCGGACACGAATTAACGCTAAACCATCTCGACTCGGCCTGGCGGTTTTTGCTCCCTCGCGAGTTGCGTGACGCAAGCGAGCGATGAATCGGCATTGGAGTGGCGTTTTATGAGGAAAGTGGACAACGGTCATCGTAAAAACCTCGGGCCACCTTGACCCGCGTAATGTAAATTATACGTTTCCTGGGAAATATTGTGTCAACCTTAATTGCTGGCATCGCGTGCCGTAATTACGCTGCAGATTTTTATGCGTCTATGGAAAATTTGAAAGTACGATGCAACGAGTGCGCACGATTACGTGGAATATATAAAACTCCAAGGTTTTGTGATATTCATTAGGAAAAATCCATTTCTATCGTAACTTTAATCTTTCCAATTATAATCCTACTTATACCTAACCACCTTTATTACATCTAATTGATCTCTCTAATTACACTATTAACACTAGGTTTACGGGCATTTATTGTACACTTCATTCTATTATTCCTAAAAGAATTGATGCTCGTTTATTTAGATTGTGGAAACTGGAGATTCGATAGTAGGTAATTGGGGTACATGTCAGTGTGATCGTACCAATCAAAATCGGCGTACACATTTACAATATTTCTAAAATCCAATATGCGTCAATTTGACGCGTTCCGTGAACCTAGTGTTAACAATCTCAACCAATGCAAACTGAAATAAAAAGAAATATCACTTTCCCAAGTTCCGAAACGTGAAACCTAGTTCCCAATGCATTCTCTGCGATCGTCCCATGAAGACGACTTATCGTAATGGTTGCCTGTCCCGTTTTGTTCGCAGGTACATAAAATACTTCAGCGGACTGCTCTCCGGCTCCTTAAGAATCAGCCAGTCACCTCTTTATCTAACGCACCTCACGGTCCTCGGTGTGCCGCTGTTCGAGCCGACGGGCTGTCGAGCGTTCCTCAAGGTCTACGAAGGGCTCACTCCAGTCTACACCTCGGACCTTTACTCGGTGACGAACGCTCGCGAGTTCACGGTTAATCTCGGTGGTCTCCGGCTGCGCGGAGACATTCTGGTGAAATGTTACCATAGGGTGTACTCGAAGCAGAGCCGGGAAGTGATGTTCTCCCTGCAGGTGAGGCCTAGATAATCCCTCCAGCAATTAACCCTTAGCGGACGATTCTTCGAAATACACGAAACCTTCAGCAGATGAAGCTGAATTACGTATCAACTGCTTAAACAATGAAAAAAAAGAAACTACGTGCTAATCTCCTGCTGTTTGAATAACTAAATCATTCGTTACTTAGTGCCAACTATGAAAATTCGATCTCAGTAACGACATCCGTCCGCAAAGGGTTACCCGAGTAGATTCACGTCTCAGATTCCCCGACCAGATTCTCTGATTAAAGGGAATTCGATGTAGTTGGTAGACTCGTTAGAGTAACTCGCCGGTAGAACGTAGAACGTGTTTCCTCGACTTGAAATATTCCGGACATTAGACTCTTCGTCGACCCTCTAAAAGTTACTGGTTTCCCACTGGCGACCGATTCAGCCGGCAGCTTCGACCACGCTCGCCCCGCGCACAAGCTTTCGAGCAGGACTTTGTGTCGCTCGAAAGGTTGCTGAACGCTTTTCAAATATTACAACCAGATCCAGTTTATGAATCACGGCACACCGGCAATTACCTCGTCCATTTCGAATCTTTGAGACGTCAATCGGAATCCGGGAGGCATGTAATTACCGAGATGTTATCTGTTTCCCGAGTCTCGTTGCGCATGGGACCGCTCGGGGCATCGCGATTACGTAAAACGCGATCGTTACCGCGTATCTCGATAGATCAGCGCTCGTTGTTCCCGCAGTTCCATACGTGCGTAATTACGGAGAACGTGGTGTCCTTCCCCCGATCGGAGCTGGACGTGGCCTGCGACGATCCCAGGTGTCCTCCAGACAGCGTGGTGACTCTATACTTCGCCACGGACGCGAAGCGTCAAGACGGCCCGATACCGGCGCCTACGCCCGCCGTGCCGCACACTTCTGCCCACCACGATCCCATCCTGCACTGGGACAGCTACACGAATCTCGAGATCAGCGATGACGGTGAGTGATTTCGATTTAGAGTTTTACGTCTTCAACGCGTTGAGTGCGGCGCAGATTTTGCTGTACTTTCCGCTTAGGCGGCAGCGCGCGAGCATTCGATGCCGAACGCTGAACTGGACCGCGCGACACGGCGCAACAGATGATTCCTTTTTTTCACTGTTTCTTTTGTCGTTTGCACTGTGACAATGGCGCAGGCAATGCATATGTATACAATGTATAAACATAAGATAATGGGCTGGGGAATGCCAGAGAGACGAAAGTGCGAACACCAAGAAACGATCGGTCTGAAAACGCCACGGGAGTACACTAAATTTTAACATAAATTTTTTAATTGTCATTGATAATTTAACCCTTTGAAATGCTAGTCTCATGCACCGATGTCGACCAAACGAGAAGTTCGCTGTCAGTCGGGACTAACGTACCACTCAACGTGTTAACCCTTAGCAGTCTATTTTATTGCAACCTCTACCTCTTTTGACAATTTTCTCTATATTTAATTGTAGTATCACAATTGTACCATTTGACCCTATGCACTCGAGAGGTGACTCTCAGTGACCACTTGATTTGACACAGTAGAACTGTAGAATGTGATATTTGATGTTAAACTTTGTATAATGCCTCGATACGTGAAACATTGGAATAAAACAGCTTTGTTCCTCGATGTCATGGTGATTTCGAATTAGTCTCAAAGTACATCGTCTTCGCCTCGTAAAGGAATGGTAAATATTTCTAGTAAGAAACATCCGAGTGCAAAGGGTTAAAGGTAACATTTCAATGACTCTCAAATATTCTTGAGTAAACAAATAGAGCGTCATATTAAGCTGTAATTGAATGAACTAAATATTAAATATTATTGCTCTGTAATCGACTATTACACTCGAAGAAAATATAGGCATAACATATGTTTAGAATTTTTCTTTTTCCAATAAGTTATCGACAAAGTAGATCAGAGTTGAGAAAGAAATAGGCCAAGGGGTTAATCCTCAATCTTTCATTTACAATTTTCTGCTTGATAACAGAGATTCTGATCCTAGACATTCATCGGTTCAATGTTTACTCGTTCATCTCATCGGACTGATACCTGGGTATTTACTAATTAATACCTGCGAGCCAGGTACATTGATACCAGTAAATTAGTACCAGTTGAGTGTATTTCTCAATACCAGCCAATTAGCACCTGTTCTTCCAACGTATCGCACGAAGGCAGTCAATTAGTAACTGTTAATTAAGATTATCGTTCGTTATCAGTGACTTAGCACTTGCCATTCAGGTCTATCACTAGGTACCAACCAGTTGGCGCTTGGTACTCGTACGTGTGACTCGGTATCGGTGAGTTAGATCTAGCGGTGGTCCAGTGTCCACTCTTAGATATTCGGTGTCCAGTGATTAAATCAAACGGACAGCAACAAGTAGTCAATAACTCGGGCTCCTTGTATCGATTAGCAGCATTAACAGTTCCTAGTAGCAGGCTGCTGCTATTTTATATTCCCGTCGGATCACCTGCAATTCTTCATCGACGATATTAATTATTCCCAGTGGCCTCTCGTCCATCCTCCGTCGCCTCCGATCCCCCCTCGGTGTGTCCTCCTGCCGGTAGAAGAATTTCAAGAAGCTCTCTCCATTAATAATCGCTTCTGGGAGTCCGGGCGCGGAACGAAGCGCTCGATTAAGTTAGATTAGAGTAGATTACAACGCGACCGTCCAATTTGGTGCAATTGCTACGTCGTTGCGTTAGATCGGGTTACCCGGGAGGTCGTACGAGGAACAGAAGACGTGACAGAAGACGTGCCTCTGACGAATCAGGAAGGAATGAGCACTTCGCTCGGACTCCAGTCTCTCCAGATAATCCTCGTGTTGATCCCCTAAACAATTCTAATTACTAGGTCTAACAGAAAGTTCTGTCCGTTCTTGAATTACAAGAAAATAATACATTTCCCATGTATTTATTAATATTCACTGAACAATATAATTTCCTTCTTAGTAATGATTTTTCCCAACGCGAAGGTAATTTGTGCATCCCATTTCTATAGAATGACTCATCTTTGGAAATTTCAGATGATATCGAAGTTCTTTAATAGATCATCGAGAACACTGAGTTTTTCACATGAAACTTAGCATACTTCATTCATCTATTCTCTCAATTAATATTCCTTTCCCACGTCTTTAACACTAGAACTACCGTACCAGTCAAAATAACTGGTTTCGATTACACAATTATTAATATCTAAAGCATTGAATTCTCGAAATGATCTTGAAAACAAATAGCTTTGACTTGAATACTATAATGAAATGGTTTCGATTCTTTTGTTTCACAATTATTGATATCTTAAAAGCATTGAATACTCGAAATGATCTTGAAAATAAATAGCATCGACTTGAATACTATAATGAATGTCTAAAGAAATCGAAAATATTGTTAGAATTTTTATAGGGATTACACATCAGTGGTATTAAATCCTCGGTACTTCTAGTATCACTGTTTACGAGTATGTCACACAATTTCTATCGTCCCTAAAAGAATCGATCTTCGTTCGTTTTCACCGTGGAAATTTGAAGTGTAACGGTCAGGACACACGCATACAACTGGGTGATGAATTAAAAACGACCGAAAGAGAAGCGTGCGGATTTCACCCTGTCCGCGCAGTGATTTCCACGTCGAGTCCGTGTCCGATGATAATGGATCCTGGGCTCCGTTGGAAAACGGCGCGCCCCGAAGATTAACGATACCTCGCGGTGTCCGTCAGCCTTTTTGCGCGCGCCTTTTTTCGTCCGGCCCGCCGGTCGAAAAGCTCGCCGAAGTACGAGACGTCGCGACGATTAATCAGCCGATAGCTCGAAACCGGCGGACCGAGTGACGGGGACTCATCGTCCGAGGACTAATTCGCGTTAATTCTCGTCCTAATGGTAGCCAATTAGCCCCGATCTGTCGCTGGGAACCAGTCAGAAAATACAACTTAGCTGAAGATGTACCGGCGAACCGACGGTTTCCAGTGGAAAACGAAAATCTAACGGTTCGACGCGGGCGTATTTAAACCGGCTGACTAACGCTGCGGCCGGAAACGCGTCCTGCCGAGGCGGTTTATCGCGAGCGACACGCCGCCCGCCGGAAATAGATCAAAGGTCGATGGGTGCGCGAGGTCCGAGAAACCGTTCCTTCTCTCGCTTCGATTTTCACCTATCGGAACCCACCCCGTCTGCAACTCTATATGGTTGATGGTTATCTTTAAAGGGCCCGGCGAACTGTTTACGCGCGTGGTTTCGCGAGATTTATGGCGGGGCTGCATATTCCGCGCGTCGGGCTAGGGGAAATTCGGCCGTCGCGTGCTCCAGGGTGTTTTGTTGGGAATATAAATGGAGGTAATTATTCTCTGTTTGCGCGTGCCGTGGAATTTGCTGGAAGGTTGTTGTGATTCGTATCCATTAGGGTTTTTAATCATTCGTCGCTGAAAGTTGCTTAATGAGGAAAGTTCATTCGTAGGTCTGATTACTGACAGGGATAATCTACTGTTTTTCTGGTGGAGCTAGGAAATTGTGGAGTGTTATGAAAATTTAGTGTGTTAGTAAACATAGTTCTTGATTGTTGTCTTTGAAAGAGAGTCAACAGTCTGTACGTGGCAGGCTATTTCTACTTACCGCGTGTAACAAGACGGTACGCCGATCCTCTAGGTTTCCTGTCAACTTTATTGTATCCCGGATAGCGTTGTCGTCGAGGAAATATTTAGTGTCGCCGTATTTAAGCCTCCAATTAATAAAGGAAACGTTTCGATTTTTTAATAGTTCATTTTTTATTAATATCTAAGAACCAAATTGTCTCAATTTTTGCTTTCTGGACTCAGCAATTCCTGGAGAATCCAAACTTCCTAATATTCTGCTATTAATAATCATCATTAATACCGTTAATACTATGAAATCTAACATAGAAACCTAAGTTAACCGTTTGCACTCGAAAATATTCTTCTCAGTAAATATTCATTATTTTCTCATGAAACGTCAATGATATATTTTAACATAAAGAAATACCTCGCGTAAATTAACAGAACTATTTCACTTCGATGTTCCATGTGTGGACACATTATATAAAATTTAACACTAAAACTACCAGAGGGGTCAGATGACCCATGCCTGATGTCTTCTTTCTGCAATTATTAGAAAGGTAACGAATGTTTCTGAGAAATTATTAAAGAAACTCATTTAGCACTGTGCAAATTCAATTGTAAATCAATTACAGTCCGAACAGACGCACTCTTGGAGTTCCTACAGTGAAATTTTGAAAAGTCAATTGAAGTGCTCGGTAGTTTTAGCGTTAATATTGAATTTTCAATTTTACAATTTTCTCGGGTCAAATCAAAAGGCGACTCTCGAGTTGCAAAGGGTTAACAAGAAAGCGAGGAGTGCGACAAGACGGTACGCCGATCCTCTAGGCTTCCTGTCAACTTTATTGTATCCCCGGCTAGCGTGGTCGTCGAGGAAATATTTAGTGCCGCCGTATTTAAGCCTCCAATTAATAAAGGAAACGTTTCGAATAATTATTACGAAGAAATTAGCCCGATTTCGTGCCGTACATCGATACTCCCGAGCAGCCTCGCACACATCCGCCATAAACGCGGCGAGTTCCGAGTCCAATAATCGTTAAACGAACTCGATGGAGCGATTCGCCGATAGTTCCACGACAATAATCGTAACACCACGGCCCTCGGCGGAGCCACGCGTTTCCCTGCGCCGAATGCCGACCTACGTTAAACGAAACGTAGCGAACGGTACGCCCACGCGGCCCTCCCACCCTTCGGTTTACCGAACCGTTTCGAATATTCGGGAACAGGTTACGTCACCGCTGCGCCGAGGGTCGAGGGAAAAGAAACGAGCTTCGATTCGATTCGTTCCGTTAACGACAGCTCCCACTGAAACTCCTGCTGCCCCTAATTGGCCGTCATGGTTAATCCCTTCGCCGATAAAGATTTTTTAAAGCGTTTAACACAGCCATCGTAACAAGCCAATTTATA